GACATACCCAGGGTGGTTAAACACTGGAATAAGTTGCCTAGGGAGGTTGTAGAATCTCCATCTCTAGAGGTATTGAAGAGCAGATTAGATAGACATCTATCAGGGATGGACTAGACCAGTGGTTCTCAACGTGGGCCATATGGCTCCCCAAGGGGCCACACCTTACTTCTAGGGGGTCAAATGGAAAAAATGGAACATTAGGAGGCCACAGTAAGTTTCTGAGGTGTATGATGAATGAGGCTCAGAAGGGGGCCATGAGCAAAAAAAGGTTGAGAAACACTGGTCTAGACAGTACTGGGTCCTGCCATGAGGGCAGGGGACTGGACTTGATGACCTCTCGAAGTTCCTTTCAGTTCTAGTGTTCTATGATTCTATGATATAGGGAACTGATCCAACTTCCATATGAGGGACAGGCAACAGAGGAGTGTAGAAAGGAAATAATATGTCCCCAAGTGTAGCCTTGCCAAGATTCACCATTTTATTGAAAGTATCACAATATCTGGGTTTTCTCCCTAAAATCTCAGCTTCTGGAGACCTGTGACTACATAAGACTCCCAACTTTAGTTTTGTATTAGAAGTAAATTTCTAGTCTTCATGGTTCCAGTGTAAAGCCTATGTATTAACTTTGATTATTTTTAGACAAATTTCATGATGGTCATTAGAATTAGGTGAGAGAGTTAGTCTAGCAATCAAAATGATGGCATGATAATAGGCTGCATGTTAACTACAAACTAATCTGGCTTTCAATATAGCAGTCTTTTAAGCCTACGTCTCAAACCCTGGAATCTTTTGGTTTCTAAAGGAGACTAAATACACATATGTACTTTGTAATCTTAATCAGAGCAGATCAGCCTGCATGCAAAGCATTGTCCACAGTTAGGATGATTCATTTTGGGCTGAAGAAAAACATAAGCTGAGAGAGGCTACGGCTACACTATGACTGTTGCCGCAAAAGCTTATGCAAACGAAGCATGGATTAGCATTTTCCCATGATTCATTTCCATACTCTTGGCTCATTTTTGCACAAAAACAGGCAGTGTAGCCGTGGCCGTTTTGCACAAAAAAACCTTTTTCTGTAAGGTCCTTATGCCTGTCTAAGACAGGCATAAGGATCTTGTGGAAAAAGGGAGTTTTGCACAAAACAGCCCCAGCCACACTGCCTTTCTGTATGTTTTAACGCAAAAACATACCGAAAGAAAGTATGCAAATGAAGCGTGGGAAAATGGTAATCCACGCTTCGTTTGAAGACGCTCTTTGCGGCAAATCTTGTAATGTAGACAAAGCCAGAGAGAAGTAAAACACCTCCCATCAGATAAGTCTCATCTGGTAGTCTTTCTGTCTGCTTCCTCTTTTATCTCACTCCACTTCTTGCTCACCCATCTAGGCAGGTATGACATGATTGGCAAGTCTAATTAGCTCTTGGTGTGTCCACTGATTAATATTCTTCAATAGTAACTCCGGGCAGATATGAATGGATATGAAGTCCCTTAGTTCACAAAGGACCAGGAATATTTGCCCAAGTGTTCATTTACAATTAGACACCTTGTTTACTCTGCAAGCTCTGAGGCCAGAAACCACCTCTTAGTTATGTCTTTACAGTGCCTAGCACAATGAGAATCCTCAGGTACTAGGAACTATCATAATGTAAATAGTAATATACCTGGCTAGCTTTTTCACTACTAAAAGAGAAGGTTGAAAAGTCTCCAGACCACGAACCTTGTTTCTTTATCAACAGCAAATTAGAAAGAGAATATGGAAAGAAACTGAAGCAACATGATTAGGCTGGAAGGCAGGTCTGTAAAAACTTGGGTTAAGTTCAGAGAGGTCCAATTGTTTATGCAGTTTTAAGCTATGACATCGTAGATTTTGTCTTGATGAGGTAAGATGATAATCAGTAGCACTCAGTCACAGAAATGCTTTTTTCATTTTAACACTGTATCTTAAGAACAATTGAAGAAGAGATCTTTCCCAAGAAATTTCTCCACACAGAAAAACTTCAGCATGACTGGGATCACAAAAGTAGGAAGTAAATGGTTGAGCAAGTTGGTAATAGATTTTTACCTCTAAGGCTGTTGTTCATTAAGGATAAAAAATCCTTAACTGACTGGTGTTCAGAGAACTTATATGTAACAATTTGGTCTGAATAAAGAGCCTAGCTGACAGTTATCCACATTAGTCATTAGTATGGTTAACAGGCTTAACTACAAGGCTGAGTATTGAGATTGCTTATGTCAATAACTTTGCCTTCTGCCTCGGTACAGAAATATGTTTGTATCTGTATATAGCAACTGGGATTTAATGGTAAGTATGCAGTGACAGAGAAATTTATAGCAAGTACCATATAGTAACATCTACGTTCAAATCAGTGTCCTAACATAATTGCTCCCACTCAAATCACTGGCAGTATTCAATGATTTCAGTGGAAGCTGGACTTGATCTTTACTTAAAACTTTTCATCTTCAAACCTCTTTACAAACTTAATTAATCATCAAAATCTCGTGCAATGTAGGTAAGTATTGTCAGTCGTGGTTCAGTAAAGCACTTCAGCATGTTCAAAACCTGAAGTCTAAGGGACTGCTCATATGCCTAAAGTTAAGCATGTGCTGAACTGCTTCGTTAAGCAGGGATAAGATTCCTTAGTTGCTTTCAGCTAAGCATGGGTGCGTCTACAGTGCACGAGTAGCTTGAAATAAGCTATGCAATTTGACCTGTACAAATTGCACAGCTTATTTCAAGTTAATTTTGAAACAGAGCACTATTCTGAAATGTCCCTTACTCCTCGTGGAACGAGGTTTACAGGGACGTCGGAATAGCGAGCTTGTTGTATTTTGAAATAATGGGCTTGCTCAAAAGATGCAGAGTAGCTATTTCGGGATACTTCTGGTATTCTGAAATAGCTCCTCAATGTAGACATAGCCCATGTGATTAAGTGATTTTTCTGAATTGGGTACCATTATCCCCCATTTTGCAGATAATAAAACTGGGGAACACAGTTTAAATTACTTGACCAAGATCACGTGACGGAGTCATTGGCAATTTCTGACTCCAGGAATTTCTGGCCCCTAGCCTTTTGTTTAAATTGTGATTAGACAGTGTTGATGAAAAAATTTATAACTAATGTAAATTATTGATTTCAACAACCTGGTTTGTCCATTGTAAAAACAGTAAGTGACTTATTTTTTCTGCATATGTTCTCTCCCCCAAGAGATGGCTTTGCTATTTCTCTGGGGACCATATAAAATTGAAAATGTAGCAGACTTAAAGCATATTAGGAGAATCTATATATTTTCATAGGCCTGATGCTATCCCCATGGAAGTCTGTAATGAAACTCCCATTTGCTGCAATGTGAGCAGGATCAGCGTCCGTGTGTCTTATGAAGAAAATGCACTTTGTTAAAGGATGAATCAGTCCTCTTTGCTGTGTGATGTGGAGGCTCACTGTAGGAATGTCATATATGTGGCAACTTAATTTATACCATTTCATCCTGGTATAATTTAAACCCCTCACCCTGACAGCATTTTTCAAGCTCCTGGTCCCAAGAACACACAGAAGCATTGCATTATTTCATTATATTAACAATCCTAACCAGGGCCTCCACAAAATCGTACTCCATTGCTTCATCGTGGTGTGGAGGTGACCCTGGGCTCTGGAAGGCTATGCCAGTGGAGCAAAAACTCCAACAGCTTCTACCAAGCTGGAAAGGTTTCGTGTATTGCCCTGGAGGTGGACTCTGTCCCCTCCATCTAAGGACCAGCCTAGCAAAGTACAGAGTGGTTTGTCACCAGAAAGTTGGCCACCAGGTGATGATTTGGCCACAGCAACTATGAACACAACAACAAAAAAGCATGACCTTGGGTCCTGTGCAGTTCCTCCTCACTTCTGTGGTGATGGTGGTAGAGTGGTGAATATGGGGGCAAAGGATGCCAAGAATCTCTCAGTATTGAGACCGTCCATTTCTATTAATTTACGATAAGAAAAGGAGATGGTCTGGCCATGTAGCAAGACTGAGAGATAACAAATGGATGACGTGTATACTCCATTGGTATCCATGAGACATAAAAAGAACAAGAGGAAGGCCTCCATCACATTGGGTGGATCCTTTATGGAGGATTCATGGAAGGACGTGGATTAAAACCGCACAAAACAGGACGGGGTGGAGAAGTTGCGATCTGTATCGGTGATGAGACTATCCGCATCCATGAAATTGCGGCTCTTCCAAAAATTCCAAGTAACCAGGGCAGGATCATATTCCTTCACTGTATGCCTTCAGATCGGTGCATATTCTGACTTCATTCCTTTCCACAGTGCAAATGGAATTCTTTTTTTCTTTGTGAATCTACCACAGCTTTCCAATAATTCATGAATAGAGAGAGAAGATGGTAAAAGAAATGTCATCAACTTGGTAACATAACTGCAGAATGCTCAATGAGGCCCTGTATTTAATGATGATTCTCTGGAAGCAAGGCTGCTTGTCAATCCACCTGTTTTTCTATTTGGCACTAGAGATGTTAAATATCGGTTAATTGAATAGTCGATTAACCTCATTAATTCTTATCGGTAACTCAACTATTCTATAGTGCCCAGGGGTGGGGCCAGCAGCCAGTGTGCTTACCATCTTCTCTCTCTATTCCTTGCCAGTCTGCGCTGCTTCCTCTGTATCAGAGGCAGCAGTGTGGGGTGCCAGGTGGGAGCTGGTCTATGAGGGGAGCCAGTTTAAAAACCAGCTTCCTGTCAACTCCCATGCTGCTGCCTCTGATACAGAGGCAGCAGTGCAGGGTGGCCAGTAACCCCTGTCCAGGAGAGATCTGAGCTCCCGGATGCAGTGAGAGTCGGGACTGAGCTGGGCTGCCTGCCTGGTTCCTAATACACTTTAAATGCAGAACCACAGCAGTGGTAGGTCCTGGAACCATAGCAATCCAGGACTGAGCCAGGCAGCTGGCCATCCTGCTAAAAAATTTACTGGTGTCGGGGAGGGAGGAAAAGTGTGTAGTCTATAGCATTAACCTATAAGCCTTTTGCTTATCAGTTAATCAACTACACTATTACATCCCTATTTGGCACAGATTGTGTGGGGGGTTGAACGCACTGTTTTCTTTTACTACTCTGCAAACATCCCATCTGCGAGGAAGCAGGTTTCTCTTAAACAAAAATGCCACCAGGTATGAAATAGCGACAATAGTCCCCAAAGTGAGAAGCATGGTGAAGGTTTTAAATGGGAACAGCTGAACGTAGACCCCGTCCACAAGGGAGCAGCCTGGGTAGTGGATAACAGGAGGAATATTCAGGGAAGGCTCCCCTGCCAGCAGCCTTAACAGGAACCCGAAGAAGAATCCAGCAGCTGAGCCGTATGTGTTGGTGTTGGGAATGAAGAGGACGCAGCAGAGCTGGGGAAAGAGAAGGGCATAGACCAGCTCCCCACTCAGGAACCACAGGTCATACACAGAGTTAGAAAGGAAAGCCAGGCCTGCGGCTGCTGTCCCAAACACCACCATGGAGACTCTCATCATCCATACAACTTCTCTCTCGGTAGCCTGTAAATTCAGAGATCACTGTGTTAGAAAGCAACTTTCGTATCCTTTCCTGAATCCAATCTCAAATTTACAATGATCAGATACAATAGCATCCAAATCCAAATGTTAGAAATAGCTTGTGATGGGCCTAACCAAAATTCTGGAATGAAGCACCTCTGAATGTAGGGGTGTTCAAAAGCTGGATCCAGAACTGAAGTCTGTAAGAATTACTAACCTGGACTGCATCTGGATTAGTCCTGATTTAGAAAAGCTCTCCATTCAAACCTTTGGGCAAGGGAAATTTTCAAAGGCATCTTTGGAATCAGAATAGCTAATAATTATAACAAAGTACATAGTAAAATATATAGTGAGAATTTACTGTCAAATACAGGAGCTGAATATCAGAGTCAGCAGGACTCAGGGTGGGCTGTGTCACTGATGTCAGCAGGAGCCTGTGCTTTGGAATCCCACAAGGCCCTAGAACCCAGGCTGCAGCCTGAGCCTGAAAGACTCCCTAGCAATGAAAATGCTCAGCAGCGCATGCCCTGCAAGCAGCCAGTCACATGTATAGTTTCTGTAGAGACAAACTACATTTGCCATTCTGAGTTTACAAAATTTCTGCAAACTTCCAGTGTTTTTGCAAAACCTAATTTACCTTTGGCAGCACTGACTAGCCTGCTGACCGCAGGGCATCTATCAGGGATGGTTTAGATGGTAGTGGGTCCTGCCATGAGGGCGGGCGGCTGGACTCGATAACCTCTCGAGGTCCCTTCCAGTTCTAGTGTTCTATGATTTTATGATAGGAATCAGTAGGTCCTGGACTCTGTTACCACTTCTGATTTATACACCGTTACAGACATGACGCTGATCCCACTGAAGTCTATAGTAAAGCTCCCATTTGCTGCAATGGGAGTGGGATCAATCGCAGTGTATTGTATCAATAGCATAGTCTGTGAAAGCACTAATCGGTTCCTGCTGTTGTGAAATATTGATGTCACAAATTGTGTTACAAAGATGAAATTCATGCACCTAGCCACAGTTGCATTTATGTTTCACAATTTTAAAAGAGGGGAGGACAAGACTCAGAAGCCATGTCTACACTGCAGATAAGGTTGAAGCAGCCACAGTTGATCTTTCAGGCTTTGAATTAGTGGGTCTAGAGAAGACATGCTAATTAAAATGGAGAGGGGCGCTCCCGTCAATGCCAGTAGTCCTGCTCCTACCAGCATGGACAGTGCCAAAATTCAAGTTAAGATACATCAACTTAAGCTATGCAATTGATGTAGCTGAAGTTGCGTATCTTCATTTGAACTTATCCCCTAGTGTACACCTGGCCAGAGAGGGTAGGGCCCAGATTTATATTGGTCTTAGGCACTGCTGTGCTCTGTGTTGCCAAAAGGTTTTTGTCAGTTAGAAGCAAGGATGTTAAAAAGCGGGTAATCCACTAATTGTGTAGTTGATCAACTACACGATTAGCCAATAAGGGAAGGATTCCTCAGTCCTGGCTCATGCTGGGTCCAGGAGCTACCTCCACTACAGCTCTGCAGCTTAAATATAGTAAGAGCCGGGCGCACAGGCAGCCTGGTTCCTACTAGATTTAAATTGCAGAGGCAGAGCAGGGGTAGGTCCTGAACTCGATGCAAGCCAGGACTGTGTGGTTCAGTCCCAGTTCACACCAAGTCCAGGACCTACACCGTGGCCAGGGGCTGCTTTGCATCAGCCTTCCCTGCCCCCTGCCCCGTGCTGCTGCCACTGATAGAGGCAGCATTATGGGGGAGGGGAGCCGGACAGGAGGCACTGCGGAGATGGTGCTGGGGTGTTGGGAAGACTCAGCTTTTAATCTGGCTCCTCCCAGCACTGGCTCCTGCTTCTCCCTCTTGTTGCCTCTGAGACAGAAGCAGCAAGGTGGTGAGGGGGAACAAGTAGTTAAGAAGTTGACTACAACTTGCTTACATACCTAATTAGGAGCCAAAATACCATTAACACTCAAGAAGGGCCTAAATGGGTCTAAATCACTTTTGAAAGTGAGCATAAGCTTCTAAATGAGTTGGGCCAACAATACTGAGTACAGCATTGCCTAAATTTCTTTGAAAATCTGGGCCTAAGTGACTGGGCCAAGGTCACATATCCTGTCATGACAGACAAGTATTCAAGCCTGGATCTCTGGGTTTCCAGCAGAGAGCTGCTCTGTCCTGGGCAGAACAAATGTCACATTAAAATCCCAGTCTCCTAAATCTGATGAAGGGCTGACATTTTGGGAATTGGAAATCCTCCACATGAAATGGTCGTGCACATTCTGCACAAATTTTCAGCAATCCCCCCTTTCTGTAAATAGCAGTGGTGAATCTGTTACCTCTTGCCTCAAAATTTTCCTGTAGATGTTGTGTGCAAACATAGAGCTGGCAGAGAGAAGGGCGGAGTCTGCAGAAGACATGACAGCTGCAGCAATTGCTCCCAAGCCGCCAATGGAAATGTAGGTCGGGCAGAGATAATGCAGCACAAGTGGCAGTATCATGGCTGACTCTCCTCTCTCCAATGGTGTTGGAAGACCATAGCTCGTCTGGTTCCAGTCTTTAAAACAGAGCAAAAAAAGGACCAAATAATTAATATTTAATTCCTGGTTTTGTTGCCTTCATAGCTGTATTTCCACAGAGAGCCATCTTGCATGGCTAAAATCTGTGTCTTAGTACCCTTAGAGTACATTGTTTCTTGACTCCAGCTGGTGATCAGTGTATACCCTGAAGCTCGACAACTGAAAGTCCTTGGAAACCTAGCTAGAAAGCACATACATGCATGTTGTTTATGGCCAAATCCTAACCCTGGGTTATGCATCAAGTAAGGGGCAACATGGTCAAATACCAATGGGTAAACTGGCAATGAACTGAGTCAACCAATCAGAGGGATGGTTGGTCTAGTGCCTGCTGCAGGAGTGTCACATCTGCTGCTTCTGGAAATTGGGCACTGAGGTGTGTCCACCTCCAGACTTTGACTGCTCTGAGGGGGGAATCTTTGTTGCACTGATTTCTGGGACATCTTTAGCCCATAAATAGTAAGTTATTTTCTGACTCTTACTAAACTATTTACCTCCAGAAGGGCTTGATCCTCCTTCAACCAGGGTTCTCTGTAAGGTGTGCAGGAGCGCACCAAGAATTTCAGTCCTACTCATCCTCTCAGTCCAGCGGCTCCTGGGGGTGGGGGCATGGCAGGTGGCTGCCCCACCCTCTGGCATGCTGCCTGCATGGCAGCTGGAGCCTGGGCCGTGGTACACAGGGCAGCTGCCCGCCATGTGGCACTGCCCCCAGGAACAGCTGGGGCTGAGGCTGCTGGGGCCAGGACCATGGTACTAAAAATAGCACCATGTCCTGGGTCTCAAATCATGGCCGCCATGCTATTTTTAGTACCGTGGCCTTGGCCCAGCCACCACGGACTCTCAACTGCTCCCAGAGTGGGGCCACATGTCATGTGGCTGCCTCATGTGCCAGGACTGGAACCAGGACCAGGGTACTAAAAATAGCACAGCAGCCCCGGCTCCAGCTCCAGCATATGGGGCAGCTGCCCGCCACACAGTCCAGCCCCACAACCAGAGAACTAGATGGGGTTGAGGGGTGCCAGTTTCTGGAAAGCAGAAGGTGAGGGAAGGGACACGGGGGGAACTAAGGAGAAGGTAGGGATGAGGAGAGGAAGGGGCTTGTGCTGATAGGAGAAGAGGGGGACTGGCACCAGAGGGCAGAGAAGGGAGGCAGGGCAGGTGGGTAGAGGGAGGTGTTAGGAAAGGGAATGGGGAGGGGGACTACAGGAGGGTAGGCACAGAGGGGAAGGGAAGGGAAGGAAAGGTGCAGGGGTCAGAGAGGATGGGGAGGGGGGAATGTCCCAGGAGGGCTGAGGGGAGTGAGAAGGGCAGGAGCCAGGACAGCAAAAGAGGGTGAGGAGTGGCGGGTGGGGGGGCAGCAGGCACCAGGGGAACAGATGAGGTGTGGGGAGGGTGCAAGACATGGCAGCAGAGGGGAAAAGGGAGAGGTTTATAACTTGGGTACCACAGTGGCACATGTCCGAACAAGTGCACATGACCTCAATATTGGTGCCTGAAACAAAACTCCACTCATGGATGGAAAATCTTAGAGGGAACACTGCCTCCAACTAGGGAGGTTGTGAATTTTTTGGAGGGGAGCAGGAGGGAGTAGTTTGTTTTCATCACTGAACCTTTAAATTCCTTTGGGCGTTTTCTCCCCTGAACGTGATCAATGACACTGACAGAAGTCAGTAAAGACAGTGAGTATAAAACAGCAAGGGAAAGTAAGTTTATTGGTCATTTTTTTCTCTCTTTACTCTACTGTGCGTATACTGTGTACAGAATATAAAAGTGTCAGACCCTTTTGGCACACAGCATAAAACGCAAGGAAGACATAGATAATGTAATGGAGCTCCCACAACTGAGACATGTTTTGTATTAGGTACTTGAACACCTAAAGCAGAGACTGGAAGGCTCAGCACTCTGATTTGAGCCCTTAAAGAAGTGGCCTGATTATCAAAAACGCTAAACATCCAGCAGCTCTCACTGATGTCACTGCCAGGTATTAACTGCTCAGCACTGAAATCACAGAATCATAGAATACTAGAACTGGAAGAGACCTTGAGAGGTCAAGTCCCGTCCCCTGCCCTCACAGCAAGACCAAGCATCATCTAGGTCATCTCTGCTAGATGTCTATTTAACCTGCTCTTAAATACCTCCAATGTTAGAGATTCCACCACCTCCCTAGACAATTTATTCCATGTTTAACCTCCCTGACAGGTTTTTCCTAATGTCCAACCTAAACCTTCCTTGCTGCAGTTTAAGCCTATTGCTTCTTGTCCTATCATCAGAAGTCAAGGAGAACAATTTTTTGCCCTCCTCTTTGTAACACCCTTTTAGATACTTGAAAACTGCCATTTTGTCCCTTCTCAGTCTCTTTTCCAAACTAAACAAATTCATTTCTTTCAGTCTTCCCTCATAGGTCATGCTTTTTAGATCTTTAATTATTTTTGTTGCTCTTCTCTGGACCTTCTCCAATTTCTCCACATCTTTCCTGAAATGTGGTGCCCAGAGCTGGACACAGTACTCCAGCTGAGGCCTAATTGGTGTTACCTTATTAGGTGTCTTAATCAGGATAATGAAGCCTTATCTTTAGGCCCCATTTTAATAAGCTTGGCCAGTGATGTCAAATCTTGAGTAAATAAGTGCATTTCTTAAAGACACATGATTTAATTTTACCTGTGGATGCTGCTACGGCTCCGATGAGCACAGAGGGGATAGCCATTAAAAAGCTCCCCAGTCCTGAGAGATAGGAAATGAGCCTTGCTTGTCTTAGTGAAGCAGCAGAGAGAATTCGCTGGAAATAAGTTTGCCATGGGATGCTACCAAGAACCTGAAACATTCAAATGTTAAAACTGTGAGATAGTAATCCTAGCCTATTAGTATTGTTTTATTTATTGGGAGGGCTGGTTAGCACCTCCTATTGTCAAAAGTTACCTGATACTTCCCATTATAAGACCGTGATGTCAGTTGCTTATACTTTTAACAAACTATCTGGGGTAAAATTTTCCACCTCAGGTAAGCTTCTGCGTCAAGTTCAGCCAGAATAGTTCAGCTGTTTCCTGAGAATGTGGCCATTGGAAAAGGGATTTTTGCCCATATTAAAACAAAAATCTGGTGATTATCTTTGAACAGTACTAGGGCCTTGATGCTTGGGAGTTGAGATCAGAGAGTTGAAGTTTGGCAGGTAGGGGCCTTTGTTTCAGGGAGGAGACTTTTGCCAACTTCTGGGGACTGGCTTTAGAGTGGACGATGAAACCATTCACCCAGCCAAGTTTCCCATCCCACTAGTCCAGCGGGTAAAGATTTCTTACCAGATATAAGAAGTCATCCAGCCATCTTCCAAGATATCCTGTTTGCACTTTCCCAATCCAAGGGGCTTGGTAGAATTCCTGAACAGCAGTGTAATAAATGTTCTCTGTTGCAGAGTTGAGCAGGGCAAACGGGACACAGATCCACTGTGATGAAAATGGAAACACTGTGTTCCTTCACTAGCTTCCTCTCACGTCTATGTCTTCTTTAAAGTCCTTGGCCTTGCCTTTCCTCTAATTTCCTCCTCTCCCACTCCTGCTGCCTACAAGCATCCCAAGTCTGCTGCCTAACTGGGCCTTTTGTCTCCTCCTCCTGCTCATCTTCATTTCATGCCACCCATTATTCCTGTTAATATACAGGCAGTCCCCGGGTTACGTACAAGATAGGGACTGTAGGTTTGTTCTTAAGTTGAATCTGTATGTAAGTCGGAACGGGCGTCCAAGATTCAGCCGCTGCTGAAACTGACTGCCAGTTCTGACTTACATACAGATTCAACTTAAGAACCCCAAGCGTCCCCAAGTCAGCTGCTGCTGAAACTGACTGCCAGTTCTGACTTACATACAGATTCAACTTAAGAACCCCAAGCGTCCCCAAGTCAGCTGCTGCTGAAACTGACTGCCAGTTCTGACTTACATACAGATTCAACTTAAGAACCCCAAGCGTCCCCAAGTCAGCTGCTGCTGAAACTGACTGCCAGTTCTGACTTACATACAGATTCAACTTAAGAACCCCAAGCGTCCCCAAGTCAGCTGCTGCTGAAACTGACTGCCAGTTCTGACTTACATACAGATTCAACTTAAGAACCCCAAGCGTCCCCAAGTCAGCTGCTGCTGAAACTGACTGCCAGTTCTGACTTACATACAGATTCAACTTAAGAACCCCAAGCGTCCCCAAGTCAGCTGCTGCTGAAACTGACTGCCAGTTCTGACTTACATACAGATTCAACTTAAGAACCCCAAGCGTCCCCAAGTCAGCTGCTGCTGAAACTGACTGCCAGTTCTGACTTACATACAGATTCAACTTAAGAACCCCAAGCGTCCCCAAGTCAGCTGCTGCTGAAACTGACCAGCAGCAGCTGAATCAGGACGCCTGGGGCAGAGCAGCTTTTCTCTCCCTGGAGGTTGAGGTGGGGGGACCGCTGCCTGCGAGTTCCGGGGCGAGAAAGCCCCGTTCGTAAGTGCGGATCCGACATAAGTCGGATCCGCGTAAGTCGGGGACTGCCTGTATCTCGCTTCCTCTCCATTTTCCTAAGCAATTCCCCAAGCTCAGTTCCTTCATTCTAAAGGCCTTTCAGCGCCAATCCGATATTATTTACTAATGCAGGGGTCAACAACCTTTCCGAAGTGGCGTGCCAAGATTTAACTCTCCTGCCCTGGGCACTGCTGCTCTCCTGGTAGTGGCAGAGGGGCTCTCTACATGGTGCATCCTGTGGACTACTTGGCTCAATGCAAACCTTTCCATGGACCACCAGTAGCTAATGGAAACTCAACATTAATTACACAATTCCGCCTGAGCCGTTTCGCTAGTGCTGCAGCTGGGGAGAATGGTTTAATTTAAATTATTAAACAGCTCAAGCGTTTTAACTTTCTCCTGTTAATCTATCAAGCTTGGTTTTAAATAAAGTAACGTATTATGTCCAACACAAAGGTTTCAATGTTTTCTTTATTTATGGCAGGGGTGAGGAACCTTTTTTGGGTTGGGGGTCACTGACCCACAGAGAAATCATTTGGAGACCACACAAGTGAGAAGCAAAAATCTCCTCCAAAAACCTCCAGCCCTCACTGGTGTGGGCCCCCAACTAAGACACCTCACCCTTCTGGTGTTACAGACTCATGGGGTGAGGGGAAGGGACAGGAAGGATTGAAGTTCAGGGCTTCCCATAGGCCAGATTTATTTTTCTGGGGTTTCAGAATTAGTGGATTTTGTGGAACCCTTTAGGCTCTGAGATGGGAACAAAAATGAGGGGTTCAAAGTGTGGCCAGCAAGTGGGATAGGGATGCAAGATCTGGGTGAGGAGGGCAGGATCTGGAAGGGAGTTTGGTGGCAGGAGAGGGTGTGGGGTAGGGATACAAGAGGGAATTTGGGGGTGGGTAGGGGCTGGGGCAGCAACGCAGAAAAGATGAGAGGATGAGAGTGCAGCCAAATAGCAAGTTGGGGAGGGAGGCAAAGAAGTGGGGAGTAAAGCATAGTGCAGCTTCTGCAAGCTAAAATTGTATTCCCCCCCAACATCTTCCCTCTGCTCCAGCCTCCCTCCACTCAGCCCCATGATCCCCACCATCGTCCCATGCCCCTCAGTGCAACCCCTGCCCCTCCCATCCTGCCCCCACATCCTCCTTCACCCCACTCCTGCCCCCACCTCCTGAGCCCCC